GCCGGAGGACGGTGGCCGGAGAGAGAAGAGAGGAGGGAGGAAAGTTGTAAAATACCAAAAATATCCTTGGATTAAAATTTTAATTCAAAATTGTCAAAATTATAAATTTCCTAATTTATCTATWGATTTGTGGTTAATATTGGTTCTCACAGTTACCATAAACTAATTAGTTTTCATTTGATTAGGCCTATATATATATATATATATTAACAAAAACAAGTAAAATTATCATGAATGAAGCATTACAAGTTCGATCTAATGTGCATTATTGACTTTTGTTAGACTAATTTATTTCAAACTGAATATTAATTTCTATTAGAACTTGAAAAGAAGTCGGACATGGACATACATACATGGACCATGAATAGACATTTGTAATATGGTTTTTTTCCAACGACTAGTTTTGTAAATGGTTGTTGGTTTACCTTTTAATAGTTTCATTAAGAGACAACCTCTGAATCGTTAAGAGGTGAATCTTGTTTGGCAAGAAAAAAGTCTGTCTCTTAATGGTTACAAAACCCTCTGAATGATTTAATTTGTATCATGGATCTTCCTTAACCATTAAGAGCCATAATTTCATTGTACACAATTACCAAACAATTATATTTCATTTTGCACTATATCATGAGAGTCTCTTAATTATTTTGACTACTTGATCATTCTGTACTAAATCATTCAACAATTGCCAAACAACGCCTAAGCAATGGTCAAATAAGCCCTAAGATATTCGTGGGTTGCATATGAATGCTTGCAGAAGCATCATTGATCAAGTACATTGTTTTCTTACACTATAAATACTCGTGTGTTAAGATATTTTCACAAGACGACTTTCAAAGATTCTCGTGGGAGATTTTGTCATATACATCTTAAAGATCTTTTGACAATTAACACTCTCTAATGAGGCACTAGTAGTTCGATCAATTTAAACAGATTTTTTTTATTAACCTGGATATCTAACCCGTTATGCGAGCTGATTAATCTCAGGACGACCACCTGCTTTGCAAATAGCCCGGAGTTATCGCATTTGAACCTCCGTGGCCACAAAAGGATTTAAACACATATTTTGTATCCACTAGTCATAAATCTTGTTGATAGATTTGTCCTGCTTAGTTTTCAATGATTGTCTAATTAGCTTTAGTAATTAAATACACAATAAATTTCTTATTTTCTTTATTTTATAGAATTTATTAAAAATAATCTAATTAAGATTGAAGTAAGAGTCTCACAATCTCGTTTATAAATTGTTATTTACTCTACCATTAAATAACAAGTTTATTTAGTAACGTTACAAGACTCCTGATTGTGTCATATAACTAATTATTTTTTTTGAATAATACGACTATATAGACAGAAAGAGACAGGGGAGGGGACGATGCAAAAAAACTAATTTGTAAGAAAGCGAGAAGGAATATGAGTCACGTAATCTATTAATTAAAAAGTAACGTAAATAAAAAATGGATAATATTTTTAGAAATCAGGATAATTATCATTTTGAATTGTATAAATCCTTAAATATCTTATTATATGTTTTAGCTTTTTTCAATTTTTATTTATTCACATTTTTTCTATCAAAT